TGAATTATTTAGTTATTTATTTCAAACTTCAATGCCATCAAAGTCAGTATCAGGTAGAATTCACCGTGCAAAAATTTCCATTCTCAATCTTTACATTAAACTGAAATATTAACACTGCAAAGGTACATTTCAGCAAATACAAATCTATCTGCAATTAAAACTAATCATAATTATAAGATTATGTAAATTGAAAATTAAAAGGAAAAGTTTGAAATTGATTTGAGTATTTTGAAAAAATTTCTCCTGAAAAACTTGAACTTTTTGCAATTTCACAACACTCCAATGAGCGTTCTATTATAAACAACGAAGGGCGAAGTTTATTATTGTGGAAGTAATAAATAAATCAATGCGAGTAAATATTTTTGAAAAATATTTTTATCGGGGTCAACACACAATTTCTTTTATCGAAGAATCGTAAATTCCATTTAGAAAATAAATTATTATACTTCAACTATTTGAAGTCAACAAGACACTCTTTGTTTTCTTTGGTTAATTGTTAGCAATAATTAAAATCTCAAGAATATTTTTAGAATATCATTTCTTTGAATTCTGTTATAAACAATGTTTTATATCAATTCCGATAAAATTTACTACTCATTTATCGAACGCCTTAAATATAACAGTTTAAAAAAAATAAAACTGATTAAGTTGTTTTCCATAATACCCAATGATTACTGTATTTCTTATTTACTTGAAAACTTCTATTTTAAGTTGTAGAATGTGGGTCACTAAAAATATTTATTCGATATAACGTGACAGATTTGTTCTCACAACAAAACTTTTAGTTGTTTTTGAATATAAAAATCAATTTTCCAATTTCCTGTTAAAGAGAATAAACAATTTAATAAACTTTAAATATAAGTGTGAAAGAATTCCGTTATTAATTTTAGTTAATTATATTGTTTATACACGATATACTTTTAGTATTTTAATGCGACATATTATAAATAATACGAGCGATTATATATTGTGATACCGTCACAATACTGGACTGCAATTTTTAATCGTACTTTTAATTAGTTTAATTTAAACTATATGCTCTCCACCTCAAATTAGTAGTAGCTTATCCCTGTATATCATACTTTTCCTTTAAGATTAGAGTCGTGCCGGTCATCTATCTATCACTTTTTGGGGGAAAATATTTGAATTGAAATAACGTGACATTGGGCTAGCGTAGGAAGTTCGTATATAGTTAATCGAGGCCTCCTGCAAATAGTATTTGCATATCTTGTGTCGTCTTTCATCTTTTTAATTCCATTCTCGAGATTATGGAAAGACATCCGGACGGACAAACATGGGTATTTTTTCAAATTGCTGCCCAATAATAACAACACTATAATTTCTATTTAGGAAGTTTTGAGTTTATTAATAAAATTAAAAAAATTATTATTATTATTCGGAAACGAGAAAAACACATAAGTAGAATTATAAACACACGCAACGTCAGTTTCTAACAAACAGTTTTATTTAAACAAACATTTTAATAATGTGAAGAGTAACAATATCTAAACTGTTAAACTGATTTCAGAATAAAAATATATCTAAAAAATACTCTATATTTAAATATATACTTACTTTTCGAATTATGTATTATAATATAAATACAAAAATCCTGTAAATAAAAGTAAAAATATAAACGACGATATTTTACCTTAAAATTAAAGTAATCTTTACCTAAATTAAAGTAAGACAAAAACAGAATAGGAAGAAACTGTTATGACGTGAAGTAACATTTAAAAAATAGTTTTACGTATGCATTTTAAAATGCCCTCAATCACGCTATTTCATTGAGAAAAAAACAAAATCGATTCCATTTGTTAATGTATTATCTCTGTTACTGTTTACATTGATTTGCTTAATATTGTGTATATGTATTCTCTACACTCACTTCACTTGTTCCAAGGCTGCGTGCTGTTATAAATCAAATTACTCTGATTTGATATAGTTCAGAGGATACTTCTTGTCTATTTTCAAAACAAAAACATGAATTTAATCTGTAATTTGTGCCTTGTATTTCCAATTCTGTTTGATTTTCCCTCTGCAAGTGAAGGTAAGTATTTGAAAAAAATATACACATTTCTTTTAAATATGCAGATTATTTATAGTAAAGTTAATTTTTCTTATTTTGAAAAATATTCTTATTTTTTGGGTTTCTTTAAAGTGCAAAATCCAATCTGTAATAAAGGAGAAGCACGCCAGACAGATATTGTAAAAAACATTCAACTGTTTCAAATTATAAAGTTTTTATTTAGACAATGGCATGCAGACGGTTTTAGCTATTTAAACTGGATAGTTAGTTTTCGGTTTACACAACATATAGGAAGGTAAATAAAGTAGAAACGAGTTGCTTAACTTTCCCGGCAACATTTGAAATGATAGCGGCGCCATCTGTTATTATGTTTTATTTTCAAAATTTTATATTTTTAAGTATTATTAANAGCCCCAAAAAAATCCCTGGAGTTTTTCGACCAGGATTTGAAACCGGATCCCCCAGAACGGTAGGATGTCTTTTTAACTTCTCAGCCATCCAGTACTCTTGCGTAAATATACCTTACGTAGCTTTTCCTTGTAGATTATCAACTCATACCCTTACTATATATTCAGATCAAGTAGTAATTTAATAAATAATACTTTATTTTTCAAAGTTTAGTAATTTATTTATTTATTTTTGTTCAATAAATGCAAATAACTTTGATTTTATAAAAATGTCTGAATACTTGTGAGCTTTGTTTTGTTTTTATTTAGTATGTCTTGATCGGTACGGTAAAGATGAAAATAATACGAATCATCATAAATTTATCTATAATATATTATTGGAAAAGTGAAAGTTAAAAAGTCGATAATTTTCCTATTTTAATTTAAAATTACAGATAATTTGTAAGAATTTGAAAAGGAAAGTTATTGTGGGTTGAATGCGGCTTTAATTTCATTATTCGTGAATTTTGTGTAATATTTACTGTATTATATTAATTCTACTGAAAACGGTTAACTGATTTCGAGAATTTCTGGTTTTGCCAGCACTAAAAATAAAAAGAATTTGAAAAGGAAAGTTATTGTGGGTTGAATGCGGCTTTAATTTCATTATTCGTGAATTTCATGTAATATTTACTGTATTATATAATTTATATTTAATTATTTATATTACCCTACACGCTAATGTAAAATTCATTATACAGCATCTATAAAGGATCGGAACGAATCCTACGTTTGGAGAGTGGCCGGTTTTCGGGTATTTATATTTTATTACTTTAATGATTCACCTTCTACGTCATGTAAAAATCGATATTTTACTTTTCAGAAAGCGAATCTTTTGACAATGGACGAATCTGAAACACATATTACGGGCGGTGTGTGGTATGAAATTTTCAAAATTATTCAAGAAAAACTGAGATTTAAGTAAGTTGTTCGTAATATGTTTTATTAAGTAAATTAGATAAATAATCGACTAGTTTTAATATATTTATATATATAATATTATGATCTAAGATGCTATTTTAATATTAGAAAACTTTCAATGATGGAAATACATCACAATTACTAAACTATTGTAAGCAATGAAATCAAACTTCCTTTCGGAAATGTGCAGTAAAGTTTATTATATTCTAGCATATCGTTATAATTAATGAAATTTATTACATTTTTTATTTATATAGGTAATGATATAATACTTAAATCTAGTTTTTTCTAATTATTGTCATACGGGGTGATTTACACGGGAATTTATCCAAATAAGTGTATAATTTTAGAACGAAAAAAATTTTCAAATGTAAATTTAAATATAAAACGCCATATGTTTGGATGTTTATATTTACATGCACGCAGTTTTTCGCGCCATAATGCCCGGCATCGGGTGGAAATGTTTCGTTCCATTCTTCCTGTCAACTACGATGGTGTTCGCAAATTCTCAGCACGTGTTTATTGTTTAAAATTGTTCGAATTCTATTTCATTCGAGGAACGTCAGAAAAAGTTTCAGAAAATATTTCACAATCGAGATCGTGTACGAGGCATGAGTTTTCCAATCTTGCGAAGAAACTTTAGACGACAGGAAGCCTTATTGATATGCATTTAGAGAGCATTCGCAGTGTCCAAAAATACTAAACAGTTTGCAAAATAAAGCTTGCTACAGTTTCCAAACAGATCATTATACTGGCAATCGCAAGAAGCAGTACGGTCCACTTGCCAGAGGGCTGCAAATATGGGTAAACTAAAGCCGTATTGCGTTACTGTTGTTTTTGAGCTGTCACTAATTGACAAGACGAAATAGATTAATAACTTCCTCTTGTTTAACAAATTTGTCAGTGAAAATTCATGCACATTACACATTACATAGTTTACGGATTCTAACTATCAGGCCAGGTGAACTCAGAACACGTGATATGAGCAAGTGAGAAACTCTGTCAATGGCGAGAATACAATGCATCCCATAAAGTTTGGCGTATAGTATGCCATTTCACGGAACCGAATAATCGGTCACATTTTTTATAGACTATCAATACAGCAGTGTATCTCAATATCTTCACACAGTTCATGAACCGACTGGATGAGGCTGTAACATAGGAATGGCTTTTTACAGCAGGACGATGCAGTGACAACAGGAGTGTCCAATACCAGCATGACTGAGATTCCAAGTTTGTCAGCCATTGTACGAAAGCCTAAGACTACTGAGCAAATGAAAAACAATATTACACAGAAATTGGAGGCTTAAATACCAACAACAGTTAATATACTAAAGCTTACAATTGACAATATGCAGCAACAAATTGATCTCCGTAATGGCAATGGCAGACATCTCCGCAATGGCAGACATCTTTAGCATCTTCTGTAATACCTAAAGACAAAAAAATTTTATATTTAAATTTCAGCTTGAAATGTTTTTACGTTTCAAAAACGTTTTGCTGTTTTTGGAAAAATTCCGGTGTAAATCATCCACCGTATTTAAACGTAATAATATAAACCCATACAAGCATTATTTTAATGTGTAATTTTAATATTTAACTAGTTATGTTGTAGTAAAGCCAATAGATGAATATGCTGGAGATTTAGCCTCAAATGGATCGTGGTTTGGACTTTTAGGAAAAATTGTAAATCAGGTGAGGAAGGTTTTAAATCTGAAAAAANATACAAGCATTATTTTAATGTGTAATTTTAATATTTAACTAGTTATGTTGTAGTAAAGCCAATAGATGAATATGCTGGAGATTTAGCCTCAAATGGATCGTGGTTTGGACTTTTAGGAAAAATTGTAAATCAGGTGAGGAAGGTTTTAAATCTGAAAAAAAGTACAGATACATCAAGCACGCTCTTTTCCTCATCCGAAATTTCTTATTTATAAATGAATTGTAAGCAATTATTCTTTATTTAGATTACAATAAATTTTTATAATGTTAGTTAATGTAGTTTAAAACATTTCATAAAGGACAGTTCTGAAGTAAACATTTTCTATTTAATTTTATTCAAATACATTGTGACAATTTTGTATTTTCGTAATATTTTATATTTTAATGTCAATTTTCTTATGATATTATTATGTTGGTTAACTTTCGTTTAGAGATGTTTCTTTTTGTCTCTGATAACATTTCGCAGAAAACATGTGTAGATTATTTCACAGTAATTACCAATAACGTTGATTAATGCAACATCATCACAATTGACATCTATGTGAATAGTGGCAAACAATTCTGTGGACGTAATCTAACAATTGTCATACTTGTCTTATTGCATTCCTTCTTTTTTTTTACGTATGACATTCTGTTGTCGCTTATAACGAATTGAAACTTTTAATGAAGAAAAATAAATGCAATCGTTAACGACTTCTCGTGTCTCTTCTCTTATATATTCATAATTTATGCTGAAAACAAAAATTGTGCTGCTTTTTTATCGAAAGAACAATGTAGAGGATGTCGATATCCCTTCACGTAAATGACTTTCATTCAAAACGTTGGAAAGTATTGATGATAAAAACGTAAAGGTTATTACGGAAAAATAGGAAACTGGTGGAAGATTAGGAAATACAAACTGTGGAAATCACGATGAGCCACAAAGAGTTACGTAGCCATTGATACCATAATCACAACAATAGGAAATCAGACCGACACGAGAATAGCTGTCTCATTGAAAAAGTAGTTAAGATTTTCTAAAGAATCAGATATCATAATGTTTAAAACTCAGAACGAATCCTACAAATGATTTACTCTTTGCAAGTCAATTAGTTTTCGTGAAATGTAAAGCCTCAAATGGTAGCTAGAAAGTTTGAAAGTGTTTTGTAGGCAATCGTCTAAAAGTAAACTTAATATAATAGATAAGTAAAAAAACACTTTTTTTTTAGTGAAGTAATAAAGATTTAATTTCGTTCAATGTAAACGTTAATCTTCTATTATTCTCTTCACAATAGGAAGCTGATTTTACTGCAATTGGTTTTGCAATCACTCCTCTGCGCTATCAATTTATGAGGTATTCATCAGTATTCGGCTTTCAGTCGATCGGATTTGTAATCAAAACTCCTACAATAATTTCTGACTTGAATTCAATTACAAAGCCTTTCTCATTAAAAGTAAGTACAGTCTGATTTGAATCAATACTCTTATTTTTAATGATAAATTGTTATATTCTTAGATATGGATCGCTACATCATTGGCCATTCTTCTATTTGGATTCATATTACACAAAGTGATGGAAAAAGATTTCATAACAGAAAAATCAGAAGTACGTTGGTCTCGATATAAAATATATTGGGAATTATTTTCCACGCTTACGTATCAAGGTAAAATGTTTTTCATTAAAATGAATTGTCTCTATGATGTAATACAGTGATTATTACAGTTAAAGTTTTGTTTTTATTATAATAGGATTGGATCTGAAAGTAGTAAAGCGATTTCCATCTAGATTCATGATAGGCATTTGGTGGCTGTCGATTATTGTGTTAGCATCCTGTTATGGTGGGACGTTAATGTCTTACATGACATATCCTTTAACAGAATTTTATCCGAGAAATTTTAAAGAACTGGAAGAATCTGTTCAGAAGAATGAATATACGTGTGGCACAGCGGCAGGAAACATTATTTGGAGAGAAATGCTCGTAAGTATTTGATTATTCAAGTATCATGCGGAGAAACTTGTTTTCCTGAATGAATTTCATTGTAATTTATAGAACTCGAAGTCCGAAAATATGAAAATATTGAAAGATCATATTTCATCGAGTAACAATTTCATATCTATGCCGTATGCATTGAATCGAGTGCAAGAAGAGCGTTTCGCTTATATATTGCATCATTATGTAATAAAAAATTCTATCAAGAAAGAAGACAAACACAAATATATGATTTCGAGAGACTCTCTGTTTATGAACCTTCTTGCTCTTCCCATGAGTAAAGGATTTCCATACGAAAAAAACATAACTACTATGTAAGAACAATTACATTTAATTCTTTATTACTTTGTTTCTCGTTTAACAACACAACGTTTCTTTTTTATACAGAGTAACTCGTATTTTTGAGGCAGGAATTGCTCAAAGAGTATTTCCTTCGGAAGATTTGGAATTGCCGAAATCTTCGGAATTCCGAGCTTTGACGTTAGATAATTTTGCTAGTGCTTTATTACTACTCGTAACTGGCTATTTGCTATCAATTGTTTGCTTTGTGGTTGAAATTATATATGCATACTTCACTGGATTTATGAGAAAATGCCTTTATTAGCATACAAACGTCTTATATATTTCTTTCAATATATGACCAAAATTGGGCTTAACTTCTAAATATGAAAAATTTTAAACCCGAAATATGTCATGCAAAAACATTTTTTTCAAAAATATACATGATCCTTTTTAACATTATTTAGTCACACTGTAATACTGTATATACGAAATTTTGAAATTTTATTTTCGCATATAAGCTATGTTCTGGTTTATTCAGTGTTTTACACAGTACTGTAGGTTTTACTTTTTAATTATATCGCTAAGATAAGAGTTTACTTCGAAGTCAGACATAATAAGAAATACAAACATCTTATGTTGTGGCAAATATTTATAAACGAACATTAGACTTTTTTGCAGAAATACAGAAAATAAATGCATTCTTTTTATTTGACAGTTCTTTAGCCATTTCTTTAGCGGTAAATTGTTTTCTACTGACCACACATTAACTAAGTTTACAGTACGGGAATTATTAAAACACTTTTTATCACTATTTTGCATTTGTTAAGTTAAAACTCAGATGGTGTATTTAATAAACTAAAGAAATTACAAAACTTTATAAACAGTTCTGAAATGCTACAGTAAAGAAGTTATTGTTTTGTTATGTAAACAGTTATTTGAGTTATTTCTTGTGGAATCAGAGCGAACAGCGTATATTGTGGGAATGCTTCCTTGGAAGAGCTTTACCCAAGAACTGACTGAAAGCTATCACTGTTGTTACCACTCGTCCGGTTTATACCCGGACAGTCCGGGAATTGACTCACTGTCCGGGAGAACTATTAATTTCGTCCGGGAATGTCGTAAAAATTGTGAAATTACGATGAAACGAAGTTCTTGCAAAATTTTTTACCAATTTACACTATTTTAACAGCGAAAGAACTCACACTCACAGAAACCCATCTGCAATTCTGCCATGCTAGTCCCTGTTTACGCCAACGTGTGGCGCGCGACCTGTCAATTTTTTTTGCATGTTCAATCCCGTCTCCAATAGAGCTAAGTCATCTGTACCTGTTCTTTCTTAATGGATGTTACTTACATTACTCCTACGCAAGTGCGTAGTCCCTAACTGTAACTGATTTAGAACCAGCATGCACGTTATTCTTCGCATTGTAAAATGACATTGCGCATGCGTCGAACTTCTGTTCGAACAAACCTTACCTGCTGTCTGGATCAGTGATTTTGAAAAGGTGGCAACACTAGCTATCACAGTTAATACGTAGTGTTGTATGAAATACCTATGTAAGCAACTGTTGTCGTTTCTCAAAAAAGCACTGCCTATACTTACATTTATGGAGGATGGGCACCATCTCGAACTACTTCTCTGGCAAAGTAATTTGTGATTAAAACATTTAATATTGACTGGCTTACCACTTAGCACTGCAAGATTACGTGGAATCTTTGATGTTCAGATTTAACACCAATAGATTTCTGGTCGTGAGTGTATCTAAAGTATAACTTGAGTATCTCTGGCCATTCTGCGTTGCGGTAACTAAAAACATACAGTAGTCCTCCCCATAACACGGTAGATACGTTTCGTTTTATATGAATTCCGTGTTTTACGAGTTACTTAAATACATGAGCCAATCACAGCCCGGAACGTGTGAAGTTTAGGGACTACGACTGTTTGAAAGTTTTTTTTTTATAAAATTAATCGATTCTAGACTAATTTGACTCAACATTTTCAATATACGTATAATTTTTGGGAATAATCCATATAAACTATGCTATAAACAAAATTTGTAGGATTACTTACCGAGTGTGCACCGTTTGACGATACCATTGCTTAAGCTTTTCGTCGCGGAGTGGTGCACATGTTTTCTGATAAGTTTTTTTTCTACAAAAAGTTTGCTGAACTTTAAAGACATCGTTAAAATAAATATAATTTTTATGGCCGTTAAATAATAAATGGTTTTTAGTAGGTTTGCTGCTCGTTTAATCTCAATTGTTTGTGCAATATCCAGTATTGATCTATTGATAGTCTGACCAATCCTGTCGCGACACGAGTTGGCGATGACGTTTTACAGTATTATACGAGTCTCTTTTAGCATATTTATACGAATACGATCGCAATTATTTCGCCTTGTTATACGAATTCGTATTATATGAACCCGTGTTATAGGGGTCTACTGTACTTTTTATTGGCTATAAAAAAGTACAGTGAAAGCAGGCATTGTTACTCATCTCCATTTTGTCACGCCTTGTGATAGAGGGCAAATTGAACATTTGCTGTTGAAATACACAAATTGACGCATAGTATTCATTTATTATATTATGAAAGCCACTAGCGCCATTTTTCGACGAATATTCAATTTATAACTTTTTCTCTTAAATATTTTCTATTAAGAGAATACCTATTCTGCAAATGATGATTTAATGCGAAACTGTTACATATTTTACGAATTTTTGAAGTTTTCATAGACTGTTTGCAGACTGCGTATAACATCCACATAGACACATTGCTTAAACCTGATTGACCATTAGCAATTATATGATTCCTGCAGATGATTTCATTCCATACACTTCTCGTAGGTCTCTATTAATGTCTTAGAGAAGACACTTATGAATCATTTCTATAACATCAAGAAATTAAAACTGTTTAAATCATTTGTTAATTTTTTAAAATCAATTCTACACTAATCACCTGCGTACAATCATCAATGTAACAGGTTTTTTTCCTCTTTCATCTTATGCTCTGCTGTTGCAAATAGAGATATAAAAAGAAAAAGTGTTGATCAAGTTGTCGACTATGTACACATAGACTTACAAAAACTCTATTTTGGAACATTTTGAGTACACAATTCAGTTTAAATTTACTATCAAATTTCATATATACAAGTTCCATATAGATATAACTGATCAATAATGACCACTTACTTTTTCCATGAATATTAAAGTGTAAATTACAGTACAAATTCACCCACACACAGTTTTTAGCAGTCAAAAACAGATATATATGTAAAAGTAACTTTGCACTAAGTAAATTAACTTTATTCATATTGTTTTTAAATTCTAACAGAAAATATGTAGACCACTCATAAATTCCTCATGACAATTTGTAACTCAATTGTTCTAAATATCTATTGTAATTACCTAGCATTTTCTACTAGGATAAGGAATTAATATTTCCACAGAGGAAAACTGTTAATTTCTATTAATCTATTAATAACTTTGTCCTTTTGCACGTGTGTGCAAAAAGACAAAGTTATTAATAGATGACACTTTCATGTATTGTGTATTATAAGAATTTTCTTAAAATTTGTTATTTCTCCTGGCAATATTGATCAAATTTAAATATTTTCTTAAGACATTGACCAATAAGCATAGAGGTTTTAGTGTGTAGAGACACTTTTCAAAGTGCTTTCTGTAAACCACCTTTACATATGGTGCTCCATGTATTTATCTAGCAATTTTTGTCATTTCTATAAATGCCAAGAGTTCTGTTAAAAAAGTATTTTAAAAATATTTCAACATAACTTATTCTGTACTTTTACTTTCAATAAAGATATTACTGAAAAGACATGGTGTTGTTAGTTTCTGTTTAGTTTCTACTCTGACAATTAGGAAAGGTAAATATTTTAATATATGATTATATTTAAACATTCACTTGATTATATTAAATCAAACTTAATTAGAATATTTGTATCTCTCGCAACAATAATTTACTGTAACAATTTGTTTAACGTTAATCATTACATTGTAACTTAAAATATTTTAAAAGGCCTGTGAAAATGTTAATCGTATTTGTGGCCGTAATATTACCAATAGATATTTACGATGCCTTTCCAAAGCCATTTTCTAATAAGTGCAGTTGTGGTTCCAAGGACAAATTAAAAAGCCAGCAAAGAGTTGTTTAACTTTCTCTACCAAAACATTTGGTTGCGCCATCTGTTATTATATTTTATTTTCAAAATATTTATATATTTAACTATTATAAAATGGCCAAAAGCTTCATTTTCAGAGTTGGGTTTGGTTTTAGAAAAAATTGTAAATGCTAATAAGTAAAATCGTAATTAAGTCCAACTATACTAGAGATACACACGACTCCAATTATCTTCCCATCCCTTTGACCTTTAACCAGAAAAATTTAACAGCATTGATTCCCCCAATAACCGAACCATCCTGCAAAACTTCAGAAATTTTCGACAATAAGCACAGGAGTTATTATACTTCAAATTGGGTAAACAAAATTGTGCCCCCCACACATAAAGACAGACATCAATTAACCCAAATATTTTCCCATCTCTCTGCGTTTCAATGTGTTTTAAGTCTAATAATGTAAAAATCTTGAGAGATGATCACTTTTTTCCTCTGTTATATATAACAGTCAAAAAAGTTGTAATTACAACACACTGTTTCATCAATTCGTATTTATTATTGCATTTGTTGTTACAGAATACATTTCTGATGTACTTCAGTTGTAACAGATAAAACACGATTTACATAAAGCTTGCAGAGAAACATTATTGTTTCAAATTTATAACGTATATTTTTCCCTTCATTAAGTTCAGCTACCAACAAACAATAAATTTTTCAAGCGTATAGCTTCATTACTGTTTTATAACTCGTTTTATAAACATTATTTTTGTTTCTGAATTACAGCATTTCTGGAAATACAAAGAAAAGTACTGCAGTAAAATTTATTTATGACCTCGAGAACACAGATTACTGAGCAGTGTTTTTAAATGCCATTGTTTTAGCCAAACAAACCGCAATTAATAACAGATTAATATTCTTTCTGCTCATATCAGTAATATAATCTTGACAAATTACAATAGAAAAGATCATGCTGACCATAAAAAACATTGATTTATTAGTACTGCTCAGTATTTATTTGTTCTATTGTTCATTTGTTTTATTTCGAATAAAAATGATACATAAATTATTTACTAAATTTTCTNGTTGATTTATTAGAACTACTCAGCATTTATTTGTTCTATTTCGAATAAAGATAACAGATGAATTATTTACTAAACTTTTTCTATTATTAACTTATTTATTATTTAT